TTGATCGAGTTCTTCATGCATTGCATGTACCTAGTTGGAGTCTTTTAGGGCTTCCTTAACCTTCTTTGGTTCAATTTGGGAGATGAGTGCTACATTTGCCTTTTTATTGAGATCTCCCCTGGTTTTCATTCATTCACTTGGATCTCCTATGATAAACTTTTGAGGATATTCATGTTCACTTCCCTACTCATTTGGACGTGTTGCACTCGTATAGTAGTTGACTCCTTCTGTGATTATGGTTGACTGCTGACAGGCTCATTAGCCAACTGTGTGACTTTGTCTAGCCTATCAGTTGACTTTTGAGTTTTTCTTGGTTGTGGTGTTTCTTGACTGACATTTCATCACCTGCAATAATTCTTTTATGGGCCGTAGTGTTATTTTCATCAAATATGACATGTACTGATTCTTCTACAGATAAAGTACGTTTATTGTAAATTCTAAAAGATCTACTGTTAATGGAATATCCCAGAAAAATACTTTCATCACTTCTTGGATCAAATTTTCCAAGATTGTCTTTATCATTGTTATGGATAAAACATTTTCTACCAAAAGGATGGAAATAACCTATGTTGGGTCATTTACCTTTTCGTAGTTCATATGGAATCTTCTTCAAGATGGGTCTTATAAGATATCTGTTGAGAATGTGGCAAGTTGTGCTTACTGCTTCTTCCCAAAAGTGGTTTGTCAAGGAATATTCTAATATCATTTTTCTGGACATATCTTGTATAGTTCTATTTTTTCGCTCAACTACTCCATTCTATTGAGGTGACCTTGAAGCTGAGAAGTTGCAGGTATATCCTTGATCATTACAAAAATCTTTAAATGCTCTATTTTCGAATTCTTCTCCATGATCACTTTGAATAGTTGTAATTAGATACCCTTTTTTTCTTTCAACTCTTTTACAGAAGATCTCAAATTTTTTCAAAGCTTCATCTTTGTGAGATATAAAAATCACCCATGTAAAACGTGAGTGGTCATTAGTAATAACAAAAGCATATCATTTTCCTCCTATACTAGCATGGGTCCAAACAAATCCATATTGAGAAATTGTAAAGGTTTGGTGGTAAACACAGCGTCTTTATTTTTGAAAGAGTTTATGGTTTGTTTACCAATTTGACATGCATCATATATATGATTTCTAAAAAAGTTGAGTTAGGGAGACCAATAACTAAATCATGCTTGGAGAGTTTCTCAATAAGATGCATGCTTGCATGACCAAGTTTCTTATGCCACAACCAAGGATCATCAGATATAGATACTAAGCAAATGTGACTATCTAGATTTTCAAAACTATCAAGAATATAAACATTTCCATACCTTTTTCCTGGGAGTATTTTTTTACCTGTCTCATCTTCAATAGCACAACATGTTTTCTTGAATTTAACTTCGTACCCTGAATCACATAGCTGACTTATACTTAGGAGATTGTAGTTGAGTCCATCTACACGATACACTTCAATAATATCACAATTGTTATTGAATGAAATTGTGTCAGTGCCAAGTATCTTTCCTTTTGAGTCATCGCCAAATTTGACACTTCCTCCATTTATATTTGTAACTTTTTTGAAAAGGTTTTTGTCACCTGTCATGTGACTGGAACACGCACTATCTAAGTACCATTTTCCTTTGCGGCTCTTCCTGTGGTGTTCCTGCAAAATAGAATTATCACTTTCTTTTAGGTACTCAAGCTTGCTTGGGTCCTTGTTGGTTAGTTCTACTAAGATCATGATTGTTTTTGGGTTTCCAAATCTATCCTGAAATACTAAATTTACAAAATGGACAAAAAGAGTATTTATAACTACTTTTATTATAGTAGTGACACATAGTGTCTGATCCAATTTTTGATCTTTCACTTGTGTTAGTGCTTGTAGACTCAGTTCTAACCGGTCTTTTTCAAGTTGACTTGTAAGCTGCCTGGTTAGACTTGACAGAACTGTGACTGGTGGACTTGCGCATGCCATTAAGTTGCATTTGTAATTCATGAATTTCATCTTGAAGTACCTCTTTTTCAATTTCGCATACTTCAAGCTTGAGTTCCCAGTCTTTCTTTTCCCTATTGAATCTTCTTAGTTCATTCATCATTTTTTGGACTCCTTTAGAGTAAGATCAAGAATATCATGTAATTCATTACATCTATCACAGTTAAAAGATCTTACCTCGCTTGTTTCACCTCATGCTATGAAATAATTTTTGTTATTATCTTTGCATTGTCGTCTGATGCATCTTCATCGATCCAGCAACTGGAGAGATTGTTCATGTCGTTTTTCAGAATTATCCTGAAGTATAGATTTACTATTTCCTCGTGTTCCGAACTGTCTTCATCACTCTAGCTTCCAAAAGATTTATTTTTATTGAATCCTCTGGAAACCGTTTTTTTAAAATCTGGGCATTCATCTTGAACATGGCCATATCTTCCACACTCATAACATTTTCCATCATTCTCGTCTTGTTTATTTTATTGCTTGGTTCGGCTGGGGGGTATCCTACCTCTTCTTGTGTTTCTGTATCTTCTCATTAAACCATCCATGTTCCTTGATACCATGGCAATCTCTTCTTAATATCATTTTCTGGTCTTTCAGTTGTAGCTTTGAAGGCGACTGTTTTCTTTTTTTTCTTCCTAGTTTATTTTCTTGAGGTGAGTTTTCTCGAATGCTATACGATCTCCTCGGAGCTCATCATATGAAAATTTGTTTAGATCTTGTGATTTGAGTGCAACTACTTTTGTCTTTCAAGTGGTAGGTAGAGTCCTCGGAATTTTTTGAACTTGTTCACCACTTGAGTATGGTTTACCATAAGCTTTGAGATCGCCAACAATTTTGCTGAACCTTGCAAACATTTCCTCAATGGATTCTTCTTCTTTCATCTGGAAGAGTTCATAGTCATGAACCAATATATTAATGTGAGTTTCTTTCATCTTGTTGGTTCCTTCATAAGTGACTTTCAGTTTATCCCACATTTCTTTGGTTGTATCACAACTTGAGATTTTCTCATATTCCTCTCCACTTATAGCATTATAGAGTAAATTTCGTGTTTTAGCATTGACCTGAACAACTGTCATTTGCTCGTCTGTGTACTCATCTATATCTTCTGGATCAGTAGGTGGTTGAGCAGTTGCTGGTAGTGGATAGTTCCCATTTTTGATAACGCGCCATATTTTGACATTATAGGATTTTACATATATTTCCATACGCACTTTTCAGTGAGAAAAGTGTTGTCCATTGAAATATGGTGGCCTAACTTGCGATGTTCCTTTATGAAAAATTGCTCCAATAATTACTTGATTTGCCATGATCTTTTCTCACAAGCTGTTAAGTAAAAAGAATGAGACTAGCTCTAATACCAATTGAAAGTACAAGAGGGAGGGGGTGAATTGCTTATTTAAAAAATATATTATAAGTAGTTGACTAGTTTACCAATTAGTCGACTAGAAATAGAAACAAGATAATAGTAATGCAAATAAAATGCAGGAAATAAAAACACCAGAATTTTTTACTGGTTTGAATTCAATATGAATCCTAGTCCAGTCTCCTTGAGTTGCAAGGGTGTTCTCTTTCAGTGATCGAAGTTTCTTGAGTACAGAATGGTTGATGTAGCTTCACACCAACAGAATGATCTCTATGTTACTTTTCTCTTCTTGATACAATATCTCACCAGTGTTTAACTCTTTTTCTTCTCTCACTAATTACACAGCAGATCTATAAGAACTACAATGCTTGTTTGGGATAGAACAAAAGGAGTGAAAATAATTCGTTCAAAGTATATTTTCTTCTAGTCTGGAACATATGTATATATACACTTCATGAGGAAATATTGACTCGTGAATTTTGAGAGATTGCAAACCCAAGGGAGTTGATCCTTGAAAGGAATCACAGATTGATTCTGTACAAGAATAAAGTCAAGTTTACGTTGATCTTCCTTGATTTGTGGTCTAGATGGGCTTCTCATCCTCTAAGCATATCTTCTCATTACATGAGGCGTATCCGCTAGATCCCTTGATTTCTGGCTTCAACAGGCTTCAGTGCTTCCCTTTGCGATCTCGTTCCCTTTAATTTTAGGACCTTCCAGTAATAGCTTCCGTCAATCATTTCTAGAATTGCTTATTGATTCTTCTTTTGGATCTCCGCTGCTTCTTCCTTTTTCATCACTAATCATTGATTCTTTTGCTTGCATTGTTGATTGCTTCCTTAATCAATTCTTGACTGGTACCACTTCTTGATTCCTTTATTTTATTCCTTGTGATCCTGCACCAAATGTGATATATTATTTTTCATCATTAAAACTTATAGTTAACAGTATATGATAGCCTCGGTTCAAATAAAGAATGATAACCCCACTTACAAGAGTCGGTCTCTCCCTCTACCGCTCCCCCTTTCTTTATTTCCTTATCATGCTACTTACAAGATATAACAACAGATAGTTTAAGAACTAGTTACCAGAAAAATAAAATAGGACCTACGCTACAAGTAGTTAAATTATATTGACAATACAAAAAAAATTATATTAAATAATTTATTAGTTTTAATTTATGTGAACCTATTATTATTTAGGGAGTTAAATAAATAATTTTAATCATATTTTTGTAAATATATTTTAAATATTTTAAGCTGTTAGCAACTGTGACTTATTTTTATATGTAGTTTTCAAATACGTAAATGCTATTTCATAAATTTTAAAATTTCTATGGCCTAATTCATACAGAAAATTTAATTAGTTAACTTGACCCTCTGTATTTTGAAAAGATTCCAATAAATTAAAACGGAAGTTAAATATATTTTTACACCAACATTTCACTCTTCTTCGTCTATGAGTTTTGACTGTCTTTGAGTGAGTGCTTTTTTTTAAGAAACAAGTCAACGTTTGCCAGAAATATGACGTCCGCTTCCACGTCGTACCCAAGCATGTCCCTCTCATATAATCTAACTCAACTGAGCTCTCCATTCATTCATGCACTTTCCCTCTTCTTTCTTTTCTTCACTTTCAAAAACACTTTTAAAAAATCCTCTTCATGATGTACGGATATACTACAAATGAAAACACTTCTCATGTGTATGATTATTCTAGTGAATACATAAGTCACTTTTCATCATTCTCTTCCCCAACCCCTTTGATCATTCCTTCATCGGAAATCGGTTATAACCAGGTTCGAAATCATCGATCCGCCTCTGATTATAATACTAGTACTGAATGTAGTAGCTATGGTTCTTCTAGTTCAGTCACAAGTTATGGAATGAATGACCATAGTTTGATTCCAAGAAACATAAGCAGTCACTCACTTGTAAATAACATGGAGGGATTTTGCCCACTTGTTTCTTCCCCACCAAATTTTCTTGACTCAGAAGGTAGCTCCATCAGAAAGGTTTTTAGCACTGGTGATTTGCAGGTAATAATAATTACATCCTTTAGCATAGGTAATAAAATCATATAGTACACTAATATGAAGCGTGACATCAAGCTGTGTTATTTTTAGAAGATTTATACTATCAGTGTAATTTAACTGGTTATCGCATGTTATTACTCAATTTTTCAGGTTCCTTTTGTCTATTATTATAGATCAAATTGATTAGATAACGTAAAAATTCTTCGCACAATGCACAGAACATAAGCAGAATAAAAAGTTTAACTATATATGTACATTGACAATTATAAAGAATTTTTACACTAACATTATATTTCATCCTGTTGTAGCATATAGCCTCTATTATATTCTAGGTTACTAATGCATTTTTTATGAGCAAATACTTATACCTCCTCTTTTCAGTATATATGTAAATCTTTTCGCTTTTGAAGATTTATTTTATAAACTTTGACCAACATTTTAAAATACATTTTTTCATTATATTGACATGAGAAAAATTACTATCTTATAGCTAGTACGTACGTTTTGTAAGTTTTTTGATATCTAGATTTTAACTTTAAAATACTAATTTAATCTAATTATATTTAATTAACTTTAATAATCAGTTAAATTGACTCTCAAAAAATAAAGAAGTTCATATAAACTGAAATAAAGAGAGTACTATGTTTTAGTGACCTAATATAGCATAATTAAAGTCGAGGATAAAACTTGTTTGTCATGGCCCGCAATGATCCTACACTAGTGCTGTGGCAAATGGCAGTGTTGCAACATTCTGCCTCAGTGTCTGTCTATATCTTCTTGCCCAAAATCCTGTGTCCACCTACAAACTATACATCATATCACACTAATATGAAGATCACTCGACTTTAGGTCTCAAATTAAGCTTCCTAAAATACATTATTAAGAATTATTCAAGTGTGTGGATAGTACTTTGATTCTTTGTTTATTCAACTAATGCATGTGTAATAGGGAATGCAACAAAATCAGCAGTCAGAAAGTCCCCTATCAAATGAGAGTAACAGCATAATCGAAGGAATGACCAAAGGTTGCAAGTACAGTCCCGAAGAGAAGAAGGAGAGGATTGAGAGATACAAAAACAAGAGAAATCAACGAAATTTTAGCAAGAAGATTATGGTAATATATTTTCTTTTAGGGATTCAAAAACCTTAGAGCAACCTTTTCTTTAAGAAAAGATATTTAATAAGAGTGAGTAATAAGACCCACATGAATTAATATTGATGATTCAAAATGGAATTGAGATAGTAAATTAAAGACATGTAAAACACGTACCATGTGAATTGCAAGACTTTTGTTATTCTTTTAGGGTCCACAGGGTTGCTCTCCTAGTTTCCATCTTGACTTTTGCTATGTCCAAAGGCGCGCAGATGTAGCGTTATAATACCAGTTTCATCTTAATTCAATACTTTTGAGGTAGTGTATAAATTTATGGTATAAAAATTCACTAAAGTTGCAACAATTAATAGATCTGAACTCACGGAGAAATTCAAAAATAGCCAGATTTACAACTGGTCATTCAAAAATAGCCAAGTTTCAAAAATAATCGAAATTTAGCCACTTTACATGTAAAGATAAATTTGAGCGAAAACACTGTTCAAAACCCAAAAATCTACGCCAGTATATTATACTGGAGTTCCAGCATAAGTATGCTTGAACTCCAGCATATTATACTGAAGTTCCAGGATAAGTATGCTGGAACTCCAGCATAATATGATGAGTTCCAACATAAGTACACTAGAACTCCAGCATAATATATTGGAGTTCCAGCAAGTATAATTGTCCAGTATAATATATTGGAGTTTGGAGCACCGGTGCTCCAGTCTCCAGTATATTATACTGGAGTCAGCAAAGTATACCGGTCCAGTATAATATGATGGAGTTCATACACAGGTGCACCGAACTCCAGTATATTATGCTGGACCGGTCTCTGTTGCAGCAAAATAGTGGCTATTTTTCATTGATTCCGTAAACCTGGCTATTTTTGAATGACCAGTCCGAAAACTGGCTATACCGTGCTATTTTTACTCTGAACTCATAAATTTAAAAAAATATAAGGTTTCAATGCTAAAAATCTTATAGGTTGAATTCGTAGAGTTTAAATTCCAAATTCACCTATGATTAAGTCTAATATCGAATTTCTTCTTGTCAAATATTTCAGTATGAATGCAGGAAGACTTTGGCAGATAGTAGACCTCGCATTAGAGGAAGATTTGTAAGAAATGACGAAATACTTGAGAAGACATCTCAGATTGAATTTAATGGGGCAGAAGTAGAAGAAGACGAGGATGATGAGAACTGGATTAGATTTCTTGATGCCTTTTCAGCAAACATTTTTCCCTAATCAATTGAAATTAAGGAAACAAAAGGAGTTCCTCAAGTTTAACGTTTGGCAACTCCTTTATTGTACGGTACTTGTTGCCTTCTAGTTTTAATAATGTATGTTCGACGATTCCATTAAGGATCAAGTCCAATTAATTGCACAATGATTAATAACAATTTGAAGCTTATGTTCCCAACTTTTCATTTAGAAGCCCGCAAGGGTTGGCTGATTTAGTTGGGAGATCTAGGATCGATTCCCCTCATTAGTAGCCTCCTCAGTTAGAGCTCGTCACACGTCGGGCATGCCTAGTGCGGTTCTCTTATGCGGTTTGCGAGCTATTATACAGTGAGCAGGTTATCCAGTGCGTACCCTTAACCAGTAATATCCCACGTATAGGATCTGGAGAGGATAGTGTGTACGCAGACTTCACCCCTACCTGGGAATAAAAAAGTTGTTTCCGAAAGACCCTCGACACATGTAGATGAAAAAGATATAAGAAGTAACTCCATATAATTATGTCAATTTTTACTTGGAAAAAGATTACCTAATAGTGTAGTTTAAAATACACTGATAGTGAAGGAAAAGTTACACTTTCAATTTACATATTTCTTTTTATATTTGGCTATCTCCTGATGGGGTCCATCCAAGATTTAATTTGTGTGTTGTCTAATCCGACCTTAAGGATCACAAATTATGCGTGAAACTCAATAGTCCCATGCATTATCCCCTACCACGCAAATATTCACATCCAATATTTGGTATTTCTTGCATGTTCAAGCAAGATCTTTAATGACCCATTATATATATGATTTACCACAAAATCAACCTTCGAAACTCAAAAGAAATTGCTGAGGTGAAATCATGGTTTAAAATTTAAATTCCGGCAAAGACAAAAAAATACTAGGTGCTTTTGTTTCGATCTGCTTAAGCTACGATAAGTAGAGTTACCTGGTAATTGATAAGTGATACACGTATCAATTGAAGATAGCAAGTATCCGATAAAATAAACGAGATGAGCACGCACAAGTAATTGGACACCACTGGATTCAAAAAGAAATTGTTGAGGTGACAGATCTTTTTAAGTATTTTAGCCACTAGAGTAACAACTATTTACTGATTCTTATTCTAGTGCTTAGCACTACTCGTCATATAAACGTATAATCATGAATGGAGTTTTGTTGACACTTGAGAGATTTTACCCATCACATATTGTGCAGACAAAGGCATTTAACAACAGAAAACATTTCAAAAGGGAAATTGGTTGCTTCCCTTGATAATCGAGAAATTCCCAAGGGCTTTTGTCCGCAAGAGAAATAATCTAGTAAAAAGAAGATACCTAGACCAATATGTATTTAGTACTTGTAGACTAAGTTGCTCGGAATCGGGTACGAATCTAGAGGTCGGATCCTTCAATGATAAATTTTAAGATTCAAAGGTACAGTACAGATCCATGTAAGGATATAGGTCGGGGGATTCGACAAAAAATACTTCAAATATCTAGAAATAAAGTTATAAAATTATATCTAAATTATGTGACATTATGTGAAAAACTTATAAGGTATTCTAAGAAGGAGAAAATATTGATCAAAAAATGTATCTGAGAAAGAGATGAAAGAAAAATGACTGACATGGAAATTTCTACATACAATGTATTCTACTTTCTTCAATTTCACTCACTTCTGTTTTGATTTCAAAATATCTGTCCCGAATTTTTCCGGTGATTTTGATTAAAGTACCCAACATCGGTTGACCAGGTCCGGTACGAATCCCACACCCACACCTACCCATACCCACATCATGTTGATACGGGTGCAGCATTGAAGTGAAGAGCCCGAGCAACTTAGCTTGTAGATATTTAATCAGCTTCATCATAACCTAACTTATTTTCCAACGTGATGTGCACGAGCCGTGAATCTTATGCTAAAAATCTATTTCAAAAAATCAGGGCATGTATATAAGGAGCAAACATCAAACCTAGCAAAACAATTGCAAAAATCTAGTGCTTAAATTAAGAGAAACTAAGAGAGTGTCTGATTCTGAGCTGATAAAGGCTCACAACAAAGCCAATTCTTTTTTCTATTTTTGGTTGGTTTATTTTGACAAACGAGAAATTCCCAAGGGCAAGCTACCGCACGGTTCCAAACTCGGTCAATAATGGATTCGCCCATCTATCCTTCTCCACTTAAATACTAGACTTTTGTCCATGCAAGGTTCAAAACTCATGACATGCGCGTAACACACATCATGTTCTGCACTCTCACCACTGAACCAAAGCATTGAGATGGCACAACACGGTGAATTAGCTACTAATAAAAAATATTATAGGTATACTCTAGGTCCACAGTATTTACATATGTACTTCTATACCCCTAATGTTTCATCACATCTGCGTAAATCAGCCAAAGCTGCTAATAAAGAATTACAGNGGGGGGAAGGGGATAAAGGGCAGAGGTCCAGTTTGTTGTTTGGAAGCATATATAAGAATTCCTACGGCGCTTATATGCACAAACCTCATAAAATATGATGTTGCTTGGAGGTGGCAAAATGCATAAACAGAAGAGAAAAATGTTAGAACCTTCAAAACCAAACACCTATAACTTTTGCACTTGCCAAAAAAATTTCCCTCTTAAAAGTTACATCCTCCAAAACCATAAACAACCAAGATAGGAAAAAGAAAAAAGAAGGGGAAAAAGGAATAGATAACAAAGAAATAAAGACGATTGACAAGGTCAAATGTCAAACATAAGTATTGGAAGCTACTGCTAGAGGGATCAGCCTCATCTAAATGGTAGGCAATTGAGAGGGAATAGGGAAAAGCAACAATATAAAAAGACACCATAGACAGGAGGAAAATGCTTTCTTCAACTGCCTAATATAAACTTAATCAAACTGATCACATGTAACTGCATCACCAATAATCTTACACTTGTCAATTGACATAAATATACAATCAGACAAACCTCACAAAGTCGTAAACTGATTCAACCTCTGAGCCTTCCACTTGGAAGCCCTATGACTCAGCAAGCGTTTGAAAGGAAACAAAGAAGGTCGATAAGATGTCCTACGTTTCATATTCCCTGCAATAGATTGATGGAAGTGTTAACCATATGTTTTTCACCTGAAGTAGAAGATGCTCAAAAGATAGTATATCTGAAGCACAGACCAGAAAAAGACAATTATTGCTTATTGAATTCAAACAAACACAAGTGGTAACCAAGTACTTGAAGGAAAAGAGACTATGCAGAGCTATCAATTTTGAAAGTCCTGAACCATCCCTCTCCAAACATCAATCCAATCATAAGGAGAAATGAATTTGGAGAATCAACTTACGACCATGGTAAGGAATCAAATGCTAATAGTGACCAGTAAGCACCAACATGCTTGGGTTGATCAAATGATAGATATTGCTGACTCAACAGATAATGATGCTAGGAAGAACAATACTTTTGCAACTGAGATCAGGAAGATAACGATGGTGCATCTGAAGGCTATATCAGTCAACAGATCTCTTAGACAGAAGATGATAGTTAATACATTTCAACCACTTCAAATCTTTCTCCCATTTCATTTTCACTAGGTTAGTGTTTATCAGGACTAAAATAAAAACTACTTAATTGATAATCATTTTCTCAATTAAAATCTAAAATTTGTTTTGACAAATAGTTAATCTGTGTTGAAAACAAATGAAAAACAGGCCGATTTAACCCTTAGGAACCAAAGTCGGACAAACAAACTGGAAAGAGTATTGAATTTCAATACAATTATTTGGTATTCATAAAATAATTGATTTATACCTGACAGAGATCCACCCATGATCTGATAACTTAGTCCAATATTATTGCCGGTGTGCTTCTGCTCTCCCTCTGAAACATCTTTGACTGGCAGATTGTCCACAACCAAATTCTCATTATCAACTTCCATTGAATTATTAAGCTCATTGTTGTACGATCCATCAGCTAAGGCAGCAGAATGATATCTCATCTCCCTAGATTGCTCTTTCTCTGTTGATTTGTTATTAAGTTGTGCCTCAAGCGAGACACCACCAAATGCACCATTTTGATCACGGAAATCTGTGTGGAAGATGTTGAAGGTCCCAAGCTGTTGACCGGGTGAACCAGTGGAAGTTCCATCCTTTGAGAGGGTGAAACTATCTGCTAAGGAAGAATCAACAGAGAGGGTGACTTCAGTATCTCTTCTGCAAGTGTAGTTTGCTGCACTCTCTGGTAAGACAGCATACAATTCACCACAAGCAGAACAAGTTCCAAGTTGCAAATCATGCACTTTGTTCTCAGAAGAGGTATCTTGCATGTTTAAGTTATTTGTAATTTTCATTTCGTCATTTTCAATCATACTATTTTCCTTGACTTCAATATCTTTTCTACAGGCACGAATTGTCGCACTATCTGACAAAAGAATGTATCCTTCACCACTAGCTGTAGAAGTTCCTGTTTGCAAATCATGAATTTTGGTCCCAGATGTATCTTCTATGTCTAACTTCTCTGTACATTTCATATCCTCATCAATCCTATCACTTTCCTTTTCTTTTTCCAAATTATGAGCATCATTTAGAGGAGCAATGAACAAACATGGCACCTTAACTTCTTCAGAGCCAGAGGCCTGATGGATTTTCTGCAGATCATCTCCTACAGGTGAACATTCTTCAGGTGGAAAATTGACACCACCTGTTCGTTCTGATATCCCAGAAGTCGGAAGAGCCATCTCATCCTCCTTAACACCAGCCAATTCAGCAATAGTATCCAGAGGCTCCTGCCCCAGCTCTGTCGTAGATATTAAATCTTTAATCTGGAGTCCATGTGAAGGCAGGTTATTCACAACAGAACTAAAATCAATGCGTTTCACATTTTTTGATACATTGCTCGAGACTGAGAAAGATTTCTTGATGTCGTCTAACAGCAAATCGCCCTCACCACTGGAGATAGGATTCCAAATGAGCCAATCATCAAATTCAGGTTTCTTGGCACCCGAAGTTATTAGTTCAACCTTAATTGCTTCCTTGTGATAACACTTTTTTCTTAATGCATTAGTTAAAACAGTTCTGCCAAGGAATAGAAAACTTCAACATTCATCGAGCAAGAGTGTGAATAATAAAAAATGAAGTTTCTGTAAGTTACCTACAATTTTTGGAAAGCGCTGCTTTAGCATGTTCCAGTTGGAGCCCAAGCAAAGATGCTAAATTTGCTACATCATACGGCCCTCTAAGTTCCGTTACAGAAGGAGCAGCACTTGAGAAAAGAAGATTCTTTCCTCGAGTCCAATCTACCAGCAGCTGGAGATTTAGCAATTAGATCAGAGTTGATTCAAGACACTGACGTCAGAAAAAAAAATCGTAACTCCTAAATTAGAATGAATATTTTTTTATTTAAATTTGGGAAAACCTTTCCAGAATGTCTGACTAGTTTCACCTTACCCTAGAAAGAGTGCCTGGAGGAGCAGTGGTGTCTGCTAAGATGCTTCGCGGTGCCTGTTTCATAATATGAAAGAGCAAGAACTTCTACCTTGCTACTGAATCTTGAGGTTTATGATCTGCTATAAGATGTCTAGTTTCATTTAACAGTATTTTCCTACATTTTGCTTCCTTCTATGATTTACTGGCATTCAATGACTTTGCTATATGCTTAATTTGTAAATATGCAATGTGCTCCCTACATCATTTCCAATTTTTGGACCCTAGCCAGGTTAGCAGAATCATTTTGTGCTGGTATTATTTTCAAATCCATGAAAGTGCAAGATAGGATGAAGTCAATGTGTATTGTGAGTATAGCATCTAAAATCCTAAGAAACATAGCCTCGTAAAAGTCTAAGATGCATGCCAACTGCCTTCAGATCCAACCAAATCCGATAAAGATTTCCAGAAAAGGCAATGCTGCCCAAAGGGATTTATATTTCAAGGTACAAGACTTCCAATTTTTATCAAGCGAAATTTCTAGCTAATAAAGGTATAATTACATATGTGGTAAGTTACATGAGGTGGAAAATATAAATTTGAGTCAACTACTCATCAAACAGGATGAAATAGAAGAAATGATGCAACCCATCAAAACTCTGAAGCAGTGATGCAACCCATCAAAACTCAGGAAATGTTCAGAAGCGACTTCAAATTTGGCATATGCAATTTCTATATGGAATCTGTGTAAAAGAACCTATAAAAGCTAATTTATCTTTTTAAAAAACAAATAAAGACAAGTCTAACTGTCTAAGTGGAGCGAAATGGAGAGTGAGGATTCATATAGCTGACCCAACTAGCCTGGGAAGGGGCTTACCTGTTGCTGTTGTTGTAAAAGGAAAAAGAAAGGAAAATGTAGTCGAACTAGAGCCTGAGTAGTCTTAAGCTTATTAGAATAACATGCATTGGTTCTTATCAGTTCAACATGAACCAACGATTGATTCTCCCAACTGTTCTATAATTCACTCCCTATTGACACACAAACACATAGTAAATATAGTTATAGGTTGAAATGTTTACTTATTGTCAAGAGGATTCCATGTCTTCTCTTAAACCCATACTCGACCACCTATAAAAACAAAATATAAAAGAATTAAACCAGAATTTCTTGGACTAACCTTAGCATTAGATATCATTTGCCTCCTCATTTGGGAATCCAAAATAAGACTGGAGTAAGTAATCTCAAAATACACTCCACGCTGCAGTTAAAACAAACAACAAATTTGTCAATCATCCTGAAACACCATAAAGAGCTCAAATTAAATTGTGGTTCAGCTAAATTCAAGCATACACCACTCCACGAGCAACTATCCCTGGATGCAACTCATTTTTTCCTTGAAGTTAAGAAGTTTCTCCACTATTTTGGTTCTTTTTTCTTTTTCGATGTAGCAATGAATATTATTTCTCCAAAGCATTGGTTTTCATTCACCCATCGTGGTGATTAAGATTTAAGCATATCAAAAGCCCTGAGCAGAAATGAAACCCATTTATCTGTAAGGAATCAATTTGCACAGCCAAATGAACATAGAGATCCCTCCCCAAGGAGTTTCACTGGCAATAATAATAATTCATCAGCTTATAGCTCCTTTCCTGTCCCTTTAGCATAATAAACATATGAACATGATTTACATAATGTTAAGTATGGAGATTTAATTGCTTCCATGGACGTCCGTTCGCAACCTTGTTGCAAGACATAATCATCAACAAATTCGTGTGCTATCTTAAGAAAGAATTATAAGCGCCTTCAGGCCATTGGTTTACCTCATCCATATATACTGACCAAAAAGAAGAGCAAGAATTTGTATAGCAGGGCATAGTTTGGATGATATGTGCATGGGAAGTTCCCAATGCTGATCACTATATTTTGGATTATACTACAAAATTGAGGAGCTTAAACCATCTATTCTACATCCCTTGTGTATAACATCCATAGAAATATAAATCTTTATCATGTCATGTTCAGCTTCTAGCATTGAAAATTTTGTATTGGAGTTGTGGAAAAAATGACGTGCAGCCAGCAGGTCCTTGTCATAGTATAATTGTTTCATATATTTGCAAGTTGTGATCTGGAATAACCTGTGCTCATATGATTGGATTTTATAAGGCCAGGTTACGCAACGTTTTGTCCGCCAAGGAGAAAGAAAAATAAACCAAAAGCAGAATCACAGGTCACCAGAATAAAATTAAGGGAAAGGCTTTCTTCTTTTTTTCTTGATAGGTATAAAATCAAGGGAACAAATCACTTTTTCTCTAAAAAAAAGTTTGTCATTTCCTAGGTGAAACCAATCACCCAGAGAAGGGCCACACCACAAGGGGGTGTGATGTAGGTTGTCTTCCCTAACGCAAGCATCAGTGGCTGATTCCATGGCTCCAACCAGTGACCTATAAGTCAAATGGAGACAACTTTATCGTCACTCCAAGGCTCCTCTTCTTTTTAAGAAGAACACACTTACTAACACTGAAAAGCGAAATCATAATATATTGAGAACCCAACTTTTACTCACACATACCAGATCCTCTCCAACCATTATTCAAAATGAATAAAAGGAAGTAGTCAGCACTACCATTGTCCATTATATTAAAGCGACTGCTTCAGTTTAATCAGAATTCCCAGGGATCAAAAATATGTTATTGAACAATCTTTCCCAAAGAGCCTCGGCAAAATGACCCATCATAACTCCATAGCCTTAGACTCAATTGAACTTCCCCTTTCAATATATCAATAGTTTATCATACCAATGTTTTATGAAGTGCACATGCACTAAGAATAGTCTCATGAATAACATAATACATTCATAAAGGGCGCACCTGAATTGCAGCTTTAACCATAGATTGCTTCAACCTAAATGGCAACTTCTCCGAGAAATCAATAGCAATTATGTCCACCTAAAAGTTGAAAAGGAGGAGGTAAGCCTAAAAAATGATGTAAGAGATATGCATATACACCTGAATGCCTAACATCTAATGTTTCCAAGGAAATATAGGCAGATAATAGCAACAAACTTTTGACTAGTCCCAACCAACACATCCATTACTTGTCGAATAAAAAATGCTCCATCAATTACAGACAATGTATGGCCGCTAGTGCATGGTGTATAATGCATCATACAGTTCTAACCTATAGTCAAAAGTATTCACCTGTATTGCCCTTTTATCATGCATGGTGTACCAGTGACTGATTTACAAGTTTTTTTACTCAAACTTTACATGCATAGTTCAAAAATTCTCAGAGGCATATACTAATGCTATTCCACACCAATAAGCACACACTAGTAGTGAAAGCATGCTACCACTGTTTCAAAATTTTGGAACTGTCTCTAACTCGACTTTATTGAACTACCATATACTCCATGAATCTTCAATCTCAGCAGAAAGAGTAGTGTCACTATTATTCAACAAACCTCTGAAGCCTGGGAAGCTGCTCAAATGTGCAGTGTGCAATGCATTTATGTCCCTTTTTTCCAATCTACAACGTGGGCGGCGCCTTTGGTTCTTAATATATATATATATATAGACACACACACTCTCTCTCTATTTCAACTTATAAGACCCACTCTATTTTGAGATCTTCCAAAATGTAAGATCATTCAATTTCTATCCAACTTCAATAATTTCCAATTATTTGAATTGATTCAACTATTCAAAATTGATTAAACTATTCAAACTTTAAAACTCAATGTCATGTTTTCTCTATCAAACTAACTATTCAACCGTTACTTTACTATTTTATTCCGCTACCACTAATATAATATATTCCTCAAAATGCATATCTTCAACTCCACGGCCAGTCAAAAACTGAGGGGGCACACAACTTCAAAATAATTCAAAAGTACATAGGTATGCTAAGTTACGACCACAGCTAAAAAGGAAATAGTGAGCACAATGGTATATTCCAGGATTCCAAGAAATGGGGACACTATTACAAAGAGGAAATCTATGATTTATATTTGATGGGTTCAACCATTAGATTCTGACCACAAATCCATTACTATCTAGAAATTATAGGTTAAAATTAAATTTTTTCTTACAATTTTAGTGATTTTTAACATATATACTTATACCCCATATCAAAAATACTGAGGTCATTGAACTATGCTATATCATACGCTGCTATTAGTTTTAATTATATAAAATTTTGCGATGACAAAGGGAGATCAATGATTTCAATGTGTTAGATTTAAAAATTTTGAATGAATAAACCAAATAAAAAAAACAATTAAAACACAAGAGCGGACGCTAAACATGCCTACAAACTGAGAATTGAATTGCAAAGGTGCACCTAACAATCATTGAACCATAAGACTCTTTGAGTTTGGATGCACGCATGTATTTTTAAGAAATATTACATTATTATACATGGTATAAGAGAGAGGAGCAATGCTCCAACACAGAGATACGCCATTGGTACACCGCACCCACTTATTTAAAATCATGGATCCGCCTCTAGCTCATACTTAAATAAACTAACATCCAATAATTATTCAATGCTTCATCTCACAGCAGGAAAACGGAAAATTCAAATTAATCAACAAACCTCGGAAACCTGGCAAGCCTGTTCAAAAGCAAGCTGATTGAGGGGTCTAACCGCAACAACATCATAGGTTTTCAAAATAGGATTCCCCGAATTAAGAGCTGAAGCCTGAGCCGAGCCATCAACCATAACAGTTAAGCGCGTGTACTGACGGAACGGGGAGGAAACAGGGACCTTTAAGAGTTTTCTACGGAACTCAACGGAGGAGGCAAGTGAAGGAGCAAGTTTGATAATAGAAGAAACAGGGAATAAGGGGATAGAACAACGGTCTGATTCGGACATTACGCCTTTGATCGTACGGTTGTAGGCGATTCCTGTGTAACCGAGTTCCATTGCTTTGATTGTGAGCTTGAGGCGTGTGGCTTTTAGGGCGGTTTTGTTCGTGATGTTTCGATCGGATTCGTAATATGGTATGTTGAGGTCGAAGAAACCCATTGTTGGATTTGTGTGTTTTGGAGGAGAGAATTTGGTGGCGATGATGTAAGGGGAAAGGGGAGAAGCTGGCGATGGCGGGGTTTAAGGGGTTTTGGGATATCGATATTCTTAATTTGGGCTAGCAGAATCGCATGGCCTTTCATGACATCATTCCTTAGAATTTGTCTCTCCAGTTTGCATGGACTAGCCACTATTTGGACGTATCCAAAATGTAGTTACTTCTCCAAATGTTTTGAGGAAGTAGCCGCTTTACTGGTTATATATGTAATTTTTTGTGAAAATCTTTCTGGAGTTTCTAATAAAAATATTTAGAAAATGATTGTTTGTTTAAGTTTTGCACAACGTTTTTTAAAAAAGAATCATAAAATAATAGCTTGGAAGGTGTTTTTCATTGAAAACTCTTATTAAACTCACAGAGTAAAACACATGAGGGGAGGGCAAATTGTGCCAAATTTAAAAAAATTAGTTGACCAACGATGATATTAGTTGACTCATTATCCTATAAAAACTGGGTTAGAGCAGAATAACAATGAAGAGAATTAAACAAAGATAAAAGTTTTATACCAGTTTGTATAATGGTGTGGTACATACATCAAATTTTTTTGGGTCACAAAAATTTTCTTAAATCTTCAAAAATGTTTTTTTACAATGGTCGTGGTTTTCCTTCATTCGCCACCAACGATGTACAATTGAATGTTTGTCAAGCTTTTGACACAACTTCTTGATTGTTTTCCTTTTTTCTTTCTATCTTGAGAGATACAAGCAAACTCAATAATACCGTGTTTCACTAAAAACTAAAAAGATGTAGAAAGCTAGTGTTGTAGTTGCGCATAGCTCTCTCCTTCTTTGAGTTCTTGTATAGGCAATGGTTGATGCTTTGAGTTATTTTAGAGCAAGATCATCATTGATTGTGAGCGAGATTGAGATATTATTTTAATTGTGAGCGAGTTTAAGGGTTGGGTTTTGCGATATCGATATTTTTTCATGTGGGCCTTGAGCAGAATCGTACGGCCTTTCGTATATCATTCCTTAGAGCTTGTCTCTCCATTTGATTAGTTGGCTAAGTTTTGCAAGATGTATTATTTGCATGGGCTAGCCACTATTTGGACATGTATTCAGAATGTAGTTACTTCTCCAAATGGACATGTATTCATAATGTATTTACTTCTCCAAAAATGTAGTCACTTCTCCAAATATTTGGAGAAGTAGCCGCTTTATTGGTTATGCTATTTTATTTTATTTTTTGGAAAATCATTCTGGAGTTTCTACTAGAAATATTTTCTGAAATGGCTGTTTGTTTAAGTTTTGCACAAACGTGTTTTTGAAAAGAGATTTTTACATTCTTATACAATATTTGAAACTATATTATNCTGTTTCTCTCTCCACATCCCACCCCCTCCCCATGTATCTTGCACAAGAGAGCAGTAATTTCACCATTGACAACCATTAAAAAGTTTTGAAACTTTGCTTTTCAAAAAACATTATTTGTTTGAATTGGGTGTTGTTGCAAAGAATTGAGAGTTCTCTCTACGTCTCTGTCTATCTCTCAATCCCTAGTTTCAGTAAAGTAAAGCAAAGGAAAAGAGAGCAGCAATTCCACCATTGGCAGCCATTAAAAAGCTTTGAAGCTTTGAATTCGAATTTGGGTTTTCAAAAACCATTATTTGTTTGAATTGGATGTTGTTGCAAACAATTGGGAATATGATTTGGAGTTTATATCTCAATTTAGAGGGTGTTTGGTGAAGACTAGATATGATTTTACCTGAATTTCAGATTGAAACTCGTCGAAGAAGAAGAAGACATGATATACATTATATTTACGAAATTGTAGTAAAATTGTAGAAAAATTATATTCTGTTGTTTATATATTCTGTTTATATATATATATATATATATATATAATTTAATTATTGTATGAAAGTTGAACAATATTGTATAAAATTTGTATTTAAGTTGTATGTTATTATAGTTGTATTTAACTGGGTAGAAATAATGTATGAAAATTGAATATAGTTGTAGATAAGTTGTATAATATATAATTAGTTGTATAAAATTTGGTTTTACTATGTATAAATCAGATACAAAATATACAAAAGGCATATTGTATAAAATTTATTTTTAAGTGGTATGATATTTCAAAGCTCATGTCACTCCAAGCTTGAGATATCAAATCTTAACATCAGATTCTTGTTGCATAGCTGAAGTACTCTTCAATTCTGACACCAAATTCGACTCTAATTGGACATACATATTACTAGTATTTGAAAGATACACTTTCCACTAACTTTTCGTCCAAACAACGAGCTCAATGACCAACTTGGATGTCGTATTGAGCCAACAAATGATGCCACTTCCTAAAGTAACCGGTTGAAGAACAACGGTAAGTGTCTGTTCAAGCACAATTCCGGAACTTGCTTCAGCTAGATCAAATTCATTCGAGACCAAATGCAATCTCTGAGAGTGATAAAATCCTATGTAGATAGAAGGTCTGTCCATGTGAGCACGTGAGTTTTGTTTCACGAGACAATCGCTCCAAAAGAAATAAAAAATAACAACAATTGATCCCGTTGTA